TGTGGGTGGTTGCCGCAACATGGAAAAATACCATCTTGCTTTTGATTTTGTCAAGTTACTAGTGATCAGTCTTAGAATGTGGTTTTATGAGTACAAGATTTTTTTTCTATCTTTACTATAAATTGCTCATGCACTCTCTTTTTCAAATGGGCTTGTTTTTCTTTCTCATAGTAATCATGTGTATCTGCTTAATTAATAAATTCAGTTTCAGGCATTGCAAATACCTCTTTGTCAACTATTTCAAAGTTTTGCCCACAGTTTCCTTAATTAATAGTAACAGAAACATCTAAATTCATTGTTATCAGTCTAGCAGTTGTTTTTGTCTTATAACCATGTCTCTTAGTTAATTTCCTATTGCTGGGCTTAAACTTCATTACCAAGGCAACTTACAAAAGAAAGTGTTTAGTTTGAGAGAGTTAAACTCCATGACGGCAGTGCAAAGGCATGGTGGCAGGAAGAGCTGAGAGCTCACATCTTGATCCTCAAGTAGGAAGGAAGTGGGGTGAGAAATGCCACAAAACTTTTCAAACCTCAAAGTCCACCCCTAGTAACACACCTCCTCCTAATCTTTCCCAAATAGCTCCAATAAGCTGGTGACCAAGTATACAAATGTATGAGCCTATGAGGTTTTTTTTTCCTCATTCAAACCATCTCAGTCTGTGTTTGAGTTTCTGATCTTTTTTTAAAGAAGATTTAGGATTTTCTGGGTTTTTAAAAATATATTTCCTGTTTCCTATTTTCTTGATTGATGATTGATATGGGAGAGACCAGCCCACTGGGCCATTGTACCCTTAGGGAGATGGTTCTTGGTAGTATAAGAGAACAGGCTGAGTAGGCCATGAGAAGCAAGCCAGTAAGCAGTGTTCTTTGTTCTTTCGTGGTCCCTGCTTCAGTTCCTGCCTCCAGGTTCCTGCCTTGAGTTCTTGCCTTAACATCCCATTATGGTGGGTTGAAAACCAAATAAGCTTTTCCTTCCCAGTTGCTTTCGGTTATGACATTTTATTGTAGCACTAGAAAGCAAACTCGGACCCCATGTTTAGACCATGATATTGTTCGGTCTAACATAAACACCAAAAAAAGAATAAAGACTGATTTGTGTTGAAACACATCAACTATGTTGAAAATTCACATTGACAATGCTACCCAAAGCAGAGGAAAGTGTGGGTTAGCCCTGGATGACTAGAAGAACCGATCCATTTTTGAAGACTCGCAATAAAAGAAATAAATTCATCCTGATGCTTTGTTTGATCTAAACTTCAGAGTGACCCAAAAATTGACAAGGGAAATTTCTTTATAGAAAGTTCCTAGCTGTCAATAGGAATAACAAATTAGAATATCCATTATTGCTGAAACTAGTATGGAGATGCTGACTCTGTTGGTTTGAATGGGATGTCTCCTACAGTACAGGCATTTGATACTTGCTCTCCAGTTGGTGGCTGTTTGAGGAGACCTAGGGGGTATGGCCTTGCTAGAAGTATGTCACCGGGGGCAGGCTTTGAGAGTTTCAAGACTTGTACCATTTCAAGTTTGCTCTCAGTTTCCTGCCCGAAGCTCAAGAAGTGGGCTCTCAGGCGTCCATGCCTGGTGCTTGCAGTTACGCTTTTCCCCTGTGATCCAGATGGATGTTTAGCCCTCTGGAATCATAAGCCCAAGATAAGCCCTTCCTCCTAAAAGTTGTCTGGGTCATGGTGTTTCATCAAATCAACATAAAGTGACTAAGTGCCAGATAAGGAATGACAGGATGGCAGGATGGACAGACGAGTGTGACAACAAACACAACTTCAATACTGACACAAAAGAAGAGACATTTGGACACTGCAATCCTCCTGAAGTGATGCAATTGATAGTTGTGCTCTTAATGCCAAAAGCTATAATCTGACCGAACATCTGAATCTAACAATGTATAGGAAACATCCCTCAGAAGAACTTGTTAGACAAAGACATGAAGATGTCAACAGCAAAGTAAACACATAGTATGACTTCAACAACTAATGTGGGGGGGGGAGGCTTAAAAAGACTAAGGCGCTGCAATGGTTTCTGATGTTTGTTTGTTGTTTTCAGCTCTAGCTGGAGAGATGTCTCAGCAGCTAAAAGTGCTTGCTTCTGTTCTACAAGACCCAAGTTCACTTCCCAATACCCATGTGGGGTGGCTCAAAACGGCCTCTCACTTCAGCACCGGTGGATCTGACAGCCTCTTCTGGCTTCTGCAGATTCTTGCACCCACGTCCACAAGCCCATACACAGACGCACACACAGACACATAGTGAAAAGTCAAAATAAGACTTTTTTTTTAAAAGTATACTCCTTGTTTGAGAGTGGCAAACTTACTAGTATTTATGAGTGAAAATCCTCCTATGGGAGCTAGCAGAGGAGCTGGAGGAGAGTAAGCGGGGGTGGTATTTGAACAAAATACATATATACATACATGAAATTCTCAAATAATAGAAATATAAAGGCAACAAATTAAAATACTCCGGTAGAGTGGGAGAGGGCACATGATGGAAACAGGTAAGGACAGGTGTTAAGTTACCTAAATACGTGATGACTGAAGATCAGCCACAGGGGAGCTGGGGTTCCTTACACTGGTGTGTGTGTGTGTGTGTGTGTGTGTGTGTGTGTGTGTGTGTGTGTGTTTGGTTTGTTTTGCATTTAAACACACAAAGAGGAAACAGGGGGCTGAGGAGATGGATGAATCAGGGAAGGGATGGCCTACATTCGGATCCCTGGCACACACACACACTAAGCCATGTGTGGTCGTGTGTTCCTCTAACCACAGCACTGAGAGAGAAAAGACAGGTGGCTCTGTGAGGCTTGTTGGCCGGCCACCCTGGCCGCTGTGGCAAGCCCCAGATTCCATGAGCGACCTTGTCTCCAAAAGTAAGGTGGAAATTGATCAAGGCTTGCTGAGATTGCTGGCAGAATCTAGCCAATAAAATATCTGTAAACAAACATACATGCGGGTGCAGTAGAACGTGTAGAAAGAGAACAAGAAAGGCTAAATGTTGAGGGATGAGGAAGGACTGAGTGCAGGTAATGCACATGAGCTCTGAAGGAGGATATAAAGCTCATTGCTCATCTAATTATATCAGACTTTTTTCATATTTGGTGGTAGATAAGTAAGTAAAAATGTGTTCAATAGTGTAAATGTAAAACCCACTGTGAAGTGCCACAGCTTCAGAATGCCTATTTTAACTATAGAGTTCATTGTTATGTACAAACTGTGGGCCTGGTCAATTGTGATAGCTTATTCTATTTGCAAGCTTTTTATAATAAAGTATATAAAATAAAAAAATCAGATGAAAAGTGACCCATGATTAACTTCTGTCTTCTGCCCACAGGTGGACACAAGCACATAAACATGTACACCCGCATACAGTACACACATGCATATGCATACACTCATGTGCACACACACACACACACACACACACACACACACACAAGTAGATGCTGAGCAGACTTAGATGTCCTTTATGTGCTGCTTGTTGACACACTCACATAAGCAATAAGCTGTAGTCATATAAGAGGTGAAATACATTAGTAGGTTTTTAAAGGTATACATTCCTTATGTCCCCAACACCATTTTATTTTATGAATATTTTTTATGCTATGTGTAATAGTCAGTGTCTGAGTTAGGATTTCACATATCTACATTAAGAAAAATGGGCCTATATGCTGATTTTATGTCTCTTTCCTGACTGTAGAATCTAGACTATACCTGCCTGATCAGATAAGGAAGTGACCATGTGCTCTTAACCACAAATCTCTGAAGCAAGAATTACTTTACCTTTTTTCTCTTATATTCTACAGGTGGCGGATGTTGTCCTGGCATATGAGTATCCATCTTTTCTAGGGTCTCCAATTTGCTAATAAATCCACCGAGTTAGTTTGCATTTCAGTTAATGTGGTACTCAATTCAAGAATGTCCATTTGTTAGCTTCCACACATCGATTAAGTTTCTCTGCCCTTTCATTCCCTAAGACCACCTTTTCCCTTAGTTTTCAAACATATTCTCTCTTTATTTCTTAAGCATGTCAGGCAAGGCAGTACACACTGTTAATCCAAGAACTCAGGATGCAGAGGCAGGTGCATCTCTGTGAGTTCCAGGTCAATCTAGTGTAAGTAGCAAGTTCCAGACCAATCAAGGCTACAGAGAAAAACCCTGACTCAATTTTTCTCAAACTTGATTAAATTATCTGCAGCTTTAAATTCATGTGTGTGCACATGCATGTGTGTGTGCATGTGTATGTGTTGGTGCTCACCCATGCAGGAACATATGGAGGGGAATTGATTGCTCACCTTGTTTATTTTTGGTTTTGTTTTGTTTTGTCATTATTTTTTTATGGACAGGGCCTCTCCCTGAACCTGGAGGCCTCTGTTTGGCTACACTACCTACCTAGTGAACACCTAGGGTTTACCTGTCCCTTTCCTCCTATCCCTTCCCGCTGTGCAGGAGCCACAGACATTCACTATCACACTTCACTTTGATGTGGGTGCTGGGGATCTGAACTCATGTTCTCATGTTTGCTCACCAAGCGCTTTATCCACTGGGCCATCTCTAGCCCACTCCCCCACGTTTTTTAATGACATAGTCTCACTATGAAGCCCGAGCTGGATCTGGAACTTACTACGGAGCCCAGGCTACCATAGAGCTCACATTTCTCTTGCTTTTGCCTCCCAAGTAATGGGATTACAGGTACACACAAATACATTGAGCTGTTTTAAACTTTTATGATTAGACTTTCATGCTATGCCCAACAGTTATATTGTGTTGATGTGCACTTGCCACAGTGTGCACACGGTGTTCAGAGCACAGCTGTACAGATGTGGAGTCAGTCAGCTCTCTCCTTCTAACTTCACATGGGTTCCAGAGAGCAAGCCTGGGTCATCAGGCTCACACAGCACGAGTGTTTACCTACTGAGCCATCTTGCTGGCCCCGGAATATTTTCGTAACACACTGTTTAACATTAAATTCTGCTTTAGAAAAAAACTGTTGATCTTTATGCTAGCAAGGAGTTTAATTACTGGCTGCATACTTTAAAGCTGAGTGGACATGATGGTGTGCTTTGCTAGTGGAGAACCTGTGGGGTTTCTAAAGCCCCACTAATAGGTAGAATTTAACGTGGTTTCTGAAATATGGTTTCCTCTGTGCTTTGTTATGCTTATTTGCAGGCTTCGCTGAGATGACTCTACTGTAGACCATACCATGGGGCATGGTTCTCACTGCTAAAGTCAGCCTTCTTGGCTTACCAGCAGAATGCCAGTAGTAGTAACCGCAAGGTCTTCATAGATGGCCTTGGCTGGCTGTCTTAGGTGTAATCCTCTGGCATAAGAGAAAGACAATATACTGGACAAGGAGCAAGTGGTCTTCTCATAACCCAGACCATGTCTTCCTTCCTCCTGAACGCTTGTTTTCGGGCCAGTGGTTCCTAGGCTGTATAAACTCAGAGCTGAGCGCTTCGTGGGGTTCTTTAGCTGTAGTGTGAAGTAGGGTGCATGCAGATGAGACTTCGCCCTCTCTGATGCAGTTTTCCTGGGTCCTGGAGGACAAACAACACAAATCATAGGCTTCTACTTCCTGCCCATTCACAGGTAATAAGCTTGCTGTGCCTTGTGTCTTCCACAAACATTCTGTATCACTGACTGTAACTTTTTTTCTAGGAACTTCTGCATTTTCAAAGTATTAGGAGATTATGTCTATTTGGCAAAGTTTGGAGTTCCTCTATGCCCAAGAACAGCTAATACTAAGTATTCCCGTGCTGCCTCAATCCTGTAGCAGATGCTGCCTGGCAAGCCTCAAGTGGTCCAACTCCTTGCAAATCAAATTTATACCTCTGCCTTGAACTTTTGAGGAAACCTCTCATAGCTTTTTGGGGTTCTCTCTGTGCAGTTCACTTTTTTCTCTAATTCCTTGAACTAAATATTCCAGTAGTCTAAGCTACCAACCTGACCTGGCCACCTAGTGTAGTGCTTGAATACCTTCTCTCTATACATGCTATGTCTGGGGAACTATTCCCATGCAGAACCTGGACTCACCTTGTGATCAGACTTAGGCTGTCTGACATCCATAATTTAAAACCAATAAGTTTCTGTACTTCAAATTCTACCTTTATATAAAGCAGGAGAACTAAAAACCCAGTATTGAAACTAAAATTCCAGTATTGGGAGCTATACCAGAACACCAGTACTATTATCTCTTAATATTAAGAATCTTTAGTCTGAGTACATGTTAACAGGTAACTTGTAAAAATTAAACAAGTGGCATGTTTTAGAAGGAAGTTCAAATACACTGCTGGCATCAAAGGAAGAGATGGGTAGGCACCAATGCAAGAATTCATCCAACAATTTAAAAAGCTACATGGTAACACCAGAATCCAGTAATCACACAACTGGAAGACTTGATCATTCTGACCTACAAGAAGCAGAAGAAAACAACTTTAAACTTTGTGAAGATGATGGAGACCTTTAAAGGAGAAATGAAAATCTCCCTTAAAGAAATGGAGGAAAAGACAAACAAAAATTTGGAAGAAATAAACCCCTCAAAAAAACTCAAGAAAGCCAAGAAAAAAAAAAAAACAATCAAAAAGGTGAAACAGACAGTTCAAGACTTGAAGACTGAAATAGAGGCAATAAAAAAAACACAAACCAAGGAAATTCTGGATATGGAAAATATGAGTAAATGAACAGGAACTATAGAGGCAAGAATAGCCAACAGAATATAAGAGATAGAAGAAAGAATATCAAGTGTTGACGATACTTTAGAGGAAATTGATTCATTGGTCAAAGAAAACATTAAATCCAACAAATTCTTAACACAAACCATCCAGGAAATCTGGGATACCATGGAAAGACCAAACCTAAGCAAAATAGCAATAGAAGAAGAACTCCAGCTCAAAGGCATAGAAAATATATTCAAGAAAATCATAGAAGAAAATTTTCCCATCCCAAAGAAGGATATCCCTATGAAGGTACAAGAAACTTACAGAACATCAAATAGACTGGATCAAAAAAAAGTCCCCCTCACCATATATTAATCAAAACACAAAACATACAGAAGAAAGAAAGAATATTAAGAGCTGCAAAGGAAAAAGGTCAAGTAACATATAAAGGTAAACCTATCAGAATTACACCTAAGTTCTCAATGGAAACCAGGAAAGCTGGACAGGTGTACTCCAGACACTAAGATACCACTGATGAAAGCTTAGACTACTACACCCAGCGAAGCGTTCAGTCACCATCAAAGGAGAAAATAAGATATTCTATGACAAAACCAGATTTAAACAATACATATCCACAAACCCAGACCTACAGAAAGTACTAGAAGGAAAATCCCAAACCAAAGAATTAACTGAACGCACAAAAACACAGGCAACAGATAATCTCCCACCAGCAAAACCCAAAGAAAGGAAACACACAACTACTACTACCGAAAAATAATAGGAATTAACAGCCACTACTCGTTACTTCTAAATATCAATGGACTCAATTCACCTATAAAAAGACAGAGGCTAAGAGAATGGATACGAAAACAGGATCCACCCTTCTGCTGTATACAAGAAACGCACCTCAACCTCAAATACAGACATTACCTCAGAGTAAAGTGTTGGGAAAAGGTTTTCCAATCAATTGGACCTCAGAAACAAGTGGGTGTAGCTATCCGGATATCTAACAAAATAGATTTCAAACTAAAATCAATCAGAAGAGATGGAGAGGGGCACTTTCTACTCATAACATAAACAATTCATCAAGATAACCCTGAACATCTATGTTCCTAGTACAAGAGCATCCACATATGTAAAAGAAACATTACTAAAGCTTAAATTGAACATCAAACCCCACACACTAATAGTAAGAGATTTCAACACTCCATTCTCATCAATGGCTGGGTCAACCAGACAGAAACTTAACAGAGAAATAAGAGAACTAACAGATGCCATGACTAAAATGGACTTAACATATCTATAGAACATCCTACCCAAACACAAAAGAATATACCTTCTTCTCAGCACCTCGTGGAACTTTCTCTAAAATTGATCACATACTCTCAATAACAAAACAAACCTCCACAGCTACAAAACAAAACAAAACAAAACAAAAAAAAACTGGAGTAACCCCCTGTGTCTTATCAGGTCATGGTTTAAAGTTAGAATTTAACAACAACATTATGCTCAGAAAGCCTGTGAACTCATGGAAATTGAACAGTGAACTATTGAACCCCCCTGGATCAAGTAAGAAATAAAGAAAGAAATTAAAGACTTCCTATAATTCAATGAAAATGAAGGAAAAATGTACCCAAACTTATGGAATACTATGAAAACAGTACTAAGAAGAAAGTTTATAACACTCAGTGCCCACACAGAGGACGTGGTGAAAACTCACACCAGTGACTTACCAGCACACCAGAAAGCTCTAGAACAAAAAGAAGCAGACACACCCCAGGAGGAGTAGAAGACAGGAAATAATCAATTGTGGGCTGAAATCAAAACAGAAACAATACAAAAAATCAATGAGACAAAAAGCTGGTTCTTTGAGAAAATCAACAAAATAGACAAACCCTTATCCAAACTAATCAAAAGGTAGAGAAAGAATATCCAAATTAACAAAATCAAAAATGAAAAATGGGACATAACAACTGACATTGAGGAAATTTAGAGAATCATTAGATCATACTACAAAAACCTGTACTCCACAAAACTGGAAAATGTAAAAGAAATGAACAATTTTCTAGATAGATACCATATATCAAAATTAAATCAAGGCCAGGTGAACAATGTAAATAGACCTTAAAAATGCAGGGGAATAGAAGCTTTCATCAAAAGTCTCCCAAACAAAACAGGTTCAGGACTGGATGGTTTTAGTGCAGAATTCTACCAGAACTTCCAAGAAGAGCTAATACATATACTCTTCAATGTGTTACACATAATAGAAACAGAAGGAACATTGCTAAACTCTTTTTTGAGGCTGCAGTTACCCTGATACAGAACCACACAAAGACTAAAACAAGAAAGATAATTACAGACCAATCTCATTCATGAACATAAATGCAAAAATACTCAATAAAATACTGACAAATCAAATCCAGGAACACATTAAAAAAATCATCCATCATGATCAAGTATGCTTTATCCCAAAGATGTAGGGATGGTTCAACATATGAAAATCTATCATCCATCATATTAAACTGAAAGAAACAAAACTGTATGATCATCTTATTAGATACTGAAAATGCATTTGACAAAATTCAATAATTCTTCATTATAAAGGTCTTGGAGATATCAGGGATACAAGGAACATATCTAAACAATAAAACCAACATACAGCAAGCCAACAGCCAACATCAAATTAAACGGAGAGAAACTCAAAGCAATTCCACTAAAATCAGGAATAAGACAAGCCTGTCCACTCTCTCCACATGTCTTCAACATAGTTCTTAAAGTTCTGGCTATAGCAATAAGACAACAAAAAGAGATCAAGGAGATTCAAATTGGAATGAAAGAAGTCAAAATTTCATTACTTGTAGATGATATGATAGTGTATATAAATGACCCCCAAAACTCTACCAGATAACTCCTACAGCTGATAAATACCTTCAATGATGTGGCAGATTACAAGACGAACTCAAAAAAATCAGTAGCCCTCCTATATACAGATGATAACGAAGCTGAGGAAGAAATCAAAGAAACATTATATTCCACAGTAGCCACAAATAACATATCTTGGGGTAACACTAACCAAAGAAGTGAAAGACCTATTTGATAAGAACTTGAAGTCTTTGAAGAAAGAAATTGAAGATGATACCAGAAAGATCTCTCATGATCTTGGGTAGGTGGGAGGGATCAACATAATAAAAATGGCAATCCTACCAATCTATAGATTCAATGCAATCCCCATCAAAATCTCAGCACAATTCTTCACAGATCTTGAAAGAACAATAATCAACTTCATATGGAAAAACAAAAAACCCAGAATAGCCAAAACGATCCTGTATAATAGAGAAACTTCCTGAGGCATCATCATCTCTGACATCAAGCTCTATTACAGAGCGCAGTAATGAAAACAGCTTGGGAGTGGAATAAAAACAGAGAGGTTCACCAATGGAATCAAATGAAAGACATGAATATTTATCCATACACCTATGAACACCTGATTTTCGACAAAGAAGCTAAAATTATACAATGGAAGAAAGAAAACATCTTCGACAAATGGTGCTGGCATAACTGAATGTCAACATGTAGAAGAATGAAAATAAATCTATATCTATCCCGATGCACAAAACTCAAGTCCAAATAAATTAAAGACCTCAATATAAAGCCAACCAATTAGTGTGGGAAGTCCTTCTGGATATGGGTTGCCTTTATTGCTTAATGAATAAAGAAGCTGCTTTCAGCCAATCACTTAACAGAGTGTAACCACTGGAAAAAAAAAAAAAAAACAGAGAAAGAAGGTGGAGTCAGAGCGCCGCCATGGAGCCACCAGAGGAGAAAGACACAAGTCATCAGTTGGAACTTTGTCAGTGAGCCACACGCCTCATGGTAAAATATAAAATAATAGAAAATGGTTAATTTAAGAAATCAAAGTGAGCTAGAAATATGCATAAGCTAATAGGCCAAGCAGTGTTGTAATTAATATAGTTTCTGTGTGATTATTTCGGGAGTCTGTCCAACACTGAAGGACCCTAAATTTATTCACTTTTGCAATTAAATTTTACTTCATTACCCCTTAGATAATAAATTCAAAGGTCCCCACCTAACGCACCTCAAATTCTAGTATTATTTGGGATGTTTAAAAATACTGTGAGCTATCAGTGAAGTGGAAAGCGGTCTCCCCATTTCCTATTTCTCTGTTTCAAGTCATTTGTTTTCATCTGGTCTCCTACACACACACACATATGCACACGCCCTACGTGCACACATCACTGGCTGATGCTTCTCTTCGTTCTCCCCTGCAGCATCCTCTGTCTATAGCCATAATTCAAAAGCTTCTTATCTCTAAGCCTTCTTTGTTCTCAACTTACTATATTCAGTTTTACGGGGATTCAGATGTCTTTTAGGCATGGGTGGCATTGGACTGCTGTTTTATACTATCCCACTTCAGTTAAAAACTGCCACTAAAGTTAGGGTATGACTCCCTCTCCTCTACACCCATGCATGCTTGTTCAAAGGTTTCTTCCAAAATCTTGGTTCCATATCAGGCGAGCCATCTGCTTTGTGACAGAGAGGAGAGCGAGACAAAACAAAGAAACAGACTATCCCCAACAGGGATTATTGCTACTCGTCTCATCTCTGTTGGTTTTGGTTTAATTCTCTAAAAGTTTTAATTCTCTAAAAGTCTCTAAAAGGTATGTAACTTAGCTCAAGATTTGTAAAACTATTGTGTAAACCTCCTGTACCTCAAGATTTGTAAGCATACTGGGTCTGGTTAAAGCCCTGTAAAATCTGCAAGAGAAGAGTTAATTTAAAACTCATAACACCAGGGTTGATAGCTAAAAATCTACACATAGATGATCTAAAGGAAATGTGGCTTGCTGTCACCTTACCTGTTGCCCCACCCCTCTTACTAGGATAGATATAGCCACATGGCTAACAGCCATCTTTACTAAGGTTGGAAAGGATGACTTTGTCATGTGACCTTATTCCCATCATGATAAAAGTGATCATATGACATAAGCCATCCAATAAAAAGCAACTCATCCTAGCTGTGAGGCCCAAACCAGATGACTCTTCCACCATTTTCGATCACACTAAAGCTTCAACCGACAGTCCCTTCTCTTCCTTTCCAGCCTCTCTGGTTTCCCTTTCTCCCTTCTCAGCAACAGGCTGCCCACCCAGTCAGGGCTGAGGCAGTCCCTGACCAGGACCCTGAATAAAATTACAGTACCCTTGGTAGGGATCTTTGCTAAGGATCAGTTTGTAAATTGTCTCCTGACTTAAAGGGGTAAATTATGAAAAAAATCCAAGAGGTCATCCAGGACAAACACGATACTTCCGAGACCGCCCCACAAAGGCCCTCTCACAATAAACCAGTCTGGATCCTGAGCCCCCAGATAGAAAACAGCTCCTTGTGGCCTTCTTCTCCCGGAGTTTCCCTGATACTAGGACCAAACTTAGACACCAAGAGAAAGGACCCCTAACTCCTCAGGCAGAAGTCTTAGCAATGGCCTTTAAAGTATACCATAGGATAGATGAAAAAGACCTGAAAGAAAAATACCTGATTCTAGCAAAGGCCTTTCAACTGACCTTGGCAACTGCCCAGGCTCCATGGCCTGGGTCCCTGTTTCAAATGCAATCAGGAGAATCACTGGGCCAGGGCCTACGTGATCCCTCATAACCCACCCAGACCATGTCCAAGGTGCCATCAAGAAGGGAATTCGGGTGTTTATGATTGTCCCATGTCCCTCATCAATTCCAGACCTTCTAGATCCAGTCATGAATGACTGAGGGGGCCTGGGTTCCTATGGCCTGACCACTGCAGTCTCCAACGGGGAACCTCAGGTAGACATCACAGTATCAGGGTGATGTATTCCTCTCCTTCTGGACACTGGAGCCACTTGTTTAGTCCTGGACTAACAAGTCCAGGTATTTTAGGGACCCACATCTTCTTGTTCCGCTATTGTCAGGGTAGGGTGACAGCTTTACCAGCCTCTTCAAACCCCATAACATATATCTTCCAGGCTCAATACTCGCTCTCTTTCCAAAGCCTCAGTGGACTTACGTCTCTTATCTAAAAGAAAACAATCTACTATACACTTGTGGCTGCCCACCACCTGGGCATACTTGTGCAGTGCCCTTCAGGGTGCCACCGAGTGTGCAGGTCTACTAAGACACTTGCGCTTCTCCGGCCATTTCCTCCTCACCTGCTGTGACCACTTGCCTCCCCACCTTCTCCTGGGCAAGTGTCACTACGGAGGTGCCTGCTTCATTTACTTTTACTCTGAAAGCCACACAGGTGTGCTGGGAAGCCTTTCCCTTCTGAGTTGTAAGTATAGCCTGGCTCCCAACTGGCAGGATAACTTTCCCTCAGAGCTGTAACTCCTACAGGTGTATCTTGGCTGTCTTTTTTGAGCTATAGAGATAGCCTGGCTTCTGATGGCCAGGATACCTTTCCCTTCAGCGCTGTAACACATTTCATGTAAAAACCCAGGACTGACTACTTCCTGAACTATCTACTATTGGTTTTCCTCTCACTCTGCCCAGGATCTCCAGTGGGTAGCTCAGACCACCCTTATCCTCCAGAGCCAAATAGGTTCGCTGGGCCACCATAAGTGCTACAAAGTCACTGAGGATTAGATTCACTGATAGCAGAAGGAGGTGGTCTTTGTCTCTACCTCAGGGAAGAATGTTGCTTCTATCTCAACCAGTCAGGTACAGTAAAAGGCAAGATCTGACAACTCCAGATAGAGTTCCGAAAACAGAAGAAATGTCTTGACGCCTCTGGCTCGTGACTCCTTGACAGTCCAACATGGAATTGGATACTTCCCTTCTTAACCCCCTTTCTCCTGCTTTTCTTAATCCTACTAGTTTCCCCTGCCTTATAAACTTCTTGTCTCGATTTCTTCAACAATGAATTCAAAAGAAATCTAATCAGACTTTTAATTAGTTGCTATTACAGGATTACCAGCTCCTATCTACAGAGTCAGAGGCCAGCAACTCCTGATTATACCTTGATGGTGAAGTTCAAGTTCACCCAAAGGACTCCGATGCCCTGATTCAACAGGAGGTAGTCTAATGATAAAATCACAGCCTTCCTGTGACCTGGTTGTTTATCCATAATAAACAGAGACCGGGGAATGTAAGCCCCTTGAGTCACCTGGATGGCCAAAAAAATCCCCAGGACCTCTAGCTGCCATGTTCTACTCACAGAACACTCCAACTGTCCTAACTGCTGAACCCTGCCCCCATCCTACAGAGTAAAAACGTCCAATCTATGGACATGAAATCCCACCAATCTCTCTCTTGGAAAACTCCACTCTGAAGAGTTCCACCCCTTCCCAAGAAACTCTGTATAAGCTCTGTATTCTGTTCAGTCGGCTGCTATTTCTCACTCGAGCAGAGACAGCCACCTTCCTGGTTTTTTTTCCCTAATAAATCTCTTGCGTGATGCTTGTTGTGTGGTGTGACTTTGTTATATTCCTTAACTCCTGGTTGCAAGCGTACTTTTCCATCCAAGCCATAATGCTTACATACTGGGAATTGTTACATATGGGTTTTTATGTAGATGATTTCCTCCTAAGCTGTGCTGTTTAGCTGAAGCAATGATTTTACTCAATAGTAGTGTTAGTTTAGATAGCATTTGGAGGACTGAGGGTCTTTAATTAATATAGCAAGGGATTATGATAGACGTTAGTTTTGTGGGAAAACTGATATAGGTAAAGGCAAGATATGGTGTCGCCCCTGCCCCTGATAAAGCAGGGACTGTAGAGGATAGAAAATAAGAGCAAGAAAATGTCACACCGCTAGTTTCTCTTGAAGAGCCATATAGACTGTGGCTTAGGTTAATGATTAAGAAAAACAGCTGAGTCTCTCATGCTAAATTAGCTCAAGTTCTTTTAATCTTAATATTGAGAAATAGGTTCACAGGTTTCGGGGTGCATCATAACTGAAACAAAGCTTTTAATATGATTTAAGTTGAGGTTAAGATGTTTTTGTTAATAGCTTTGAGGGGAAAAAACCCTTGAGAAAGAATGTAAAGTTTAGAAAGGCCCATATGAGTGAAGAACTCATTAAGGTCGGAGAAAAAGAACAAAGCAGCCCCATTATTATTAGCTGATGTGCCTTTCTTGCTAGGATCGGTTAGTGACCAAAGGTGATGATTAACTCCTTATATGCATTTCTGTCCTCAGCTTCCTGATATATATATATATATATATATATATATATATATATATATATATATATATATACATACATACATACATA